TTCTGACTTGTGTCAATTGAATTTTTATTTTTAATTTCTGCTTTTAAAGTTCTAGAATTTGATTTTTTAGTCATACTTTTCTGTCAAAATTCTTCATGTTGTCTTTTATTTCTTCCAACATACTAAGTGGAGCTATTTTAAATCCTGTGATTTCTTCTTTATCTAGAGTACTTATAGGACTATTTCTACTATCTGTTTTTCCTCTCTCTTATGGCACATGGTTTTGCCTCTTTGTATGCTTAGTAATTTTTAAACATTGCATACTCCTGAAAAATGTGAATGGTTCTGAATGTTGTATTTCTCCAGAAAGAATAATTGTTTGCTTCTGGAATATGGCTAAGCTAGGAAGAACATTCACAATACCAAATCATCTTAGTTCAATCAGAGATAGAGATGATTTGCAGCACTCTGATAGAGCCTACTTCCAATTCAGCTTTACTCCTTGTGTGTTAACACTTTAGCATTCCACCCCAAAGCCCAGGGGCTTAGAAGGGCCCATCTTCCTTAGTAGATCTGACTTCTTGTATTTCCTCCCCCTGAGTCTGGTGGAAGCTCTGCTCAGGATCTGTGTTACTGGAATCAGCCAATAGCTCTGGGGAAAAGTGGCTGCAAATACTTGAGTCACCTCTCTAGGTTTTCTTTGTCTCTCAGGTCCTAATCATGCAGTTTTCCTCTCGGCCTTATTATATCTCTGATGTGTTCAATATTAATATGTGTCCATGTTAAACCCATCCACCCACTGAGTTTTTAGTTGTCTTCTTTGAATGGATATACATCATTTACTGGACATACTTCATCATTGTAAGAAGAAAAACATTACTTTTTTTTTTTTTTTTTGGTACTGAGGATTGAACCCAGGGGTTCTCAACCACGGAACATCAGGGATTGAACTCAGGGGCGCTTAACCACTGAGCAATATCCCCAGCCCTTTTTGTGTTTTATGTAGGGTATCACTGAGTTGCTAAGTGCCTTGCTAAGATGGTGAGGCTGGCTTTGCACTCATGATCCTCCTGCCTCAGCCTCCTGAACTGCTGGGATTATAAAGCATTACATTTTTTAACATAGCATTTCTCTTCCTTCTTTCTTTCCCTTCTCTCCTCCCCTCCCTCTCTCCCACCCTCCACTTTCTCTTCTTCCTAATATTTGAGGTCCCAGAAAGGAGAGGCTATTTTATCCATTATGTGCACTCAGCAAGAACTTGAAACATAACATATTGTATTAACACTTTGCTGAATAAATAAATAAGTGTGGTTTCTGCTTGGGATTGATAGTAATGAAGGTGAATTTTCACCCCTTGCCAGAAATTGAAAACATGGTCAAGCATTAGTATCCCATGGGCAGGGTGAGGGGAGCTGTCCACCTGGGAGCAGTCAACTAGTTAACTAGGTAAGCCATAACTGTGGCCCTGATCACCTGGAGGTTGGCTTAGCCTGGTAGAGAACTTTCAACCATATGCAAACATATTTGCCTGAGTTTAGCTGTTGGCCCCTTGGCAGTGTTAGGGTTTTTCTAGATGAACAAACAAAGTTTTTCAATTGAGGAGGAGTATTATATTACTGTTGCACGATGTTAGTAAAAAGCAGACAACTTTTAGTTAGTGATTTTATTGATTTTACATTCCCAACATTAAAAAAAAAATTCCTAACATAAAAGGTGCTCCATTGCCTGCAGTCTAGATGGACTGCTCACACTATCTAACCCTAACCCTCCATATGCTGGTGCTCTTGATAGTGGTTTTGGAAGAACAACACAGCTGAGTCTGTGGAGAGGGGTGTGTCTGTTTAGTGAGTGGGCCAGTTGGCTCTGATGTGCTTCATTCCCTTGAAGTCCTAGCGAAACATTTACCTGATGTGGATAGTGTTTAACTATACTCCTACTGATAAAATTAGGGGCAGGCAAATGTTCAAAAGTTACTTGCTCAAAGTGGATAGACCTGGATGTTTGATTTGCTTTCTGTACTAGACCATAAGCTCCCTTGAGGACAAGGACCATATCTCATTCATTATTTTTTGTTTCACGGCAATAATTGTTGTAATAATGAGTGCTTAATAAATGTTCAACTGTGTGTTTCCCCCCATGTTTCATTTCACATATATGCCATGATAATATTTGTTGTATTCTTATCTCTTAAAATTGACCCAGCATGCATGAAAGTGAAAACGTTTTTTAAAGAATAAATGATGTCTTATTAAGTGTTCTTCAGCCTCCTGAGATATAATTTTAAAGAGAAACTGGCAATGTGAAAAAAATAGTTCATTATTTGTTTAAAAGAGGTTAACCTGTATTAGTTAAAGAAGAGGAAGCCTTTATTTCATGAAGTTAAAAAGATAAAGATTAGTGGGTAGTACACGGAAATACCACATTTAAGAAATGAATTCATAAAAGTCAGAGACAAGCCAAAACTCAGCTGAGAACACTCTTCTCCTTTGCTTAGGTTCTTATTTATATATTATTTTTTTACATATTGATAGGCCCTGAACTCTACCTAAATAGATATTTGGAACTTGGGGGTCACATTAAAGAAAGTTATTGTAATCCCTTACACTCATGATTATTTTTGCCCTTCTCTGATTAAGTCAGCTGGTTGACATCTCTTAGTACATCTTAAGAGTGTTGCTTTTTAAATTTTTATTTATTAATTTTTATGGTGCCAACACCAAAGTTTAGCATAACCTATTTTTGTTTCATTTATCTATTCTTTAGAAAATAATTCTGATTCTAGGATTTCCTTACATTTTATCTTCATGAATTTGTCCTCACTTTAAAGAGAAGATTACTGATGAGTTTGTTTTTGAAATTAACTATGTCAGTCATTAATACTGCCCACTACTATTCTGGATTCTTTACCATTTCAGAAATGCCAATAGGATTATATTTCTCAGCATTAGGCTGGGTGAGATCATGTGTGGTTCCCATCATTGTCTTATGAGCAAAAGTGACACATGTTACTTCCTAGTTAGAGAATTTAATTGCTGATGCACAACCCTCCAGCAATCTCCTCTTCCTTTGGCATGGAGACCAGAATGCTTTGCTCAGCAATTTGAGTCCCTGAGTGACCATGATGAACAGAGAACCCCTATTGACAGGTGATGAATATATAATATGAGGGGAAAAAAAAGACAGAGAGGGAAAAAAAAGGAAAACAACAACAACAACAAATAGTTTTAACCACTAATATTTGGGGATTGCTTATTACTGTCTGTATAAGGGTTCCATTGAGCAATAGAGCTAGTATACACATGTATATATACACAGAGATTAACTTATTGAAAAGTATTGGCTTATGTGGTTTTGGAACCTGTTGGGAAGCTATGAAATCTGTAGGGCAACCCATCAGGATGCGTAGGCTGGAATGCGCAGGCAGGACCTGACGTTCAGGCAGAAGAGAGAATTTCTTTATCTGGAAGCTTCCATTCTGCTGTTAAGGCCCTGATTGGGTCAGGCCCTCACAGATCATTGAGTATAATCTTCCTTACTTTAAAAAAAAACTGATTATAGACTTTAATGACATACAAAATGCATTCACAGAAACTCCTAGGTTAATATGTCTTTGAATAACTGGGCACCATAGCTTAGCCAAATTGACACATACATGACACATACACAGTATGTCATAACATAATTAGGCTTCCCTAATTACATGAACACAGTAGCAATTCAGCAATGTATCACTGTCAGAAGACCTGAGACTCCTTAAATAGTCTACCTCATGCATCCTTTTAATATAATAACTAGAAAGGAACAGAGTGACAAACAACCAAATGCGGAATTCTGTTTTCAACCCATAAATTAAATGATAGTTTCTGGCATTCCTTTCACTTTTGAATGATTGCCCATGATGAGTCACATGTGAAGCAGAACACATAACCAAAGACCTTCTTCCCATATCTTTCTAATGTCTACCCAAATTGACTTGGGAGCAGAGCCAACTTAAATGTGCCTTGACCCCTAACACCTTTTCCCATCTGAAAGATCCATCTTTCTTTGTCAGACATCTTAGAAGCATTTTTATTCTGTCTTCTACAAATCCCTGTAAATTACTCACTTATACCAAATAGTCAGCATATTACTAGCAATTTTTATTAAGTCGATCATTAGAATATATATTTAAGAACACTATCTAAATTTATAATACATCTGCCTCTACTTAACTCAGTGTGTGTTCTGTGCTTCCTTTTTTTTTCTCATGCAGAAAAAGAATGGGTCTGGGCTTTGAGACTTCTAATTTTTCTTTCATTTCTTACAGCCTCTGTGTCCATCATGTAGTCATCTCTACATGATGGTGTGTGTGTGTGTGTGTTTTCTATGCTCAATGCTACCAATTCATCTTTATGAGTCTAGGTTACTGTTGATTTGATATTTAACATTTATATAGTATATCTACATGGTTTACCGTGGAGACACTCATGTCTAGATGAGAATCCATGTCTAATTACCGCATTCTGGCTGGGCACAAATCACGAGCCACTCAAGCAGGAACAAACTTTATTTCGGAACTCCCACAGCATTCCACCCGCACTCCCTGGGAACTCTCCCGAACGCCACCCACGCGGCTCCTCCAGGAACACACCACATACCAACCGGAACTCCCCCCCCTGCCCGTCTACAGCACAGTCACTCTTGGAACCCCAGGAGAACTCAACGGGAACTCCAAAGTAGCCGGCGCCCAAGGCAGCAAGAGCCATCCTATTGCCCGAAAGTAAAGGTCAAATATACAATTCAATCAATCCAGCATCACAGTAATTATATATAGCTTAATTCAGATCATCATCTCAATGGTTCGCTGGCGTCACCTTTCAACCATTCCCTCTGGCAAATGCCAGGCGTCATTCTGAATGAGCTGTGGCTCTCAACATCTAATCAAAATAGGATATGCTATATGTTTCTTTTCCCTTCCTCTTTTACTTGTCAAGCTGCTTAGACAAGAGGACAACTTTTGCTTCATTAAGTTGTTCATTAGGCACTTCCCGATCGTGAAGAACAAACACAGTCACATGATCTCAGTTAATGTGAGTTTATTTATGTCAATACATAAGAAAGTAAGGAAGATAAGAAAGCAACCCAGTAACTATAAAGTCCACACTCGTTTAGTTCAATCATTTCCCCAGGAACCTGAGAGCAGGACTCTAGCTGTCTTGATGGCAGAAGTCATTGTCATTCCTATTCTAAGGTGACTTCATCATGGTGACTGCACCATTTTGCTGCTCTTACTACTTGTTTTCTCTTTCTCTCTTATTCAGACTTTGATGGATTGGGCCAGGTATTTCTCAAGAAATCCTTTCCTTATGCCAGCATATGGCCTGTAAATGAGTCACTTTGAATAATGTATTGAACCTTGGTGCAAATGGTATGGCCGGCATGGAGAGCTTTCATGACAGAAAACAAGATTTGCTTATATAAGAACTACGGAACTGGTCTTTCCAGGACATCAGGAAAATTATAAAGCCACCCATGAAATATAGATAATAACATATAGCTTTATTGCTAGGGACAAAACAGCTTTTGTTGCTTAATGAAACTTTCCCACACAGGGTTTTAAAGTACTCTGTCAATACCATAACTTATCTGAAACTACAGTGCTGCCTTTCTTTTATTGCATTTTTTTGATTGTTGCCTTTTATAACACGCACTTTCTAAAGAGGTAGAAAATCCTCTTTTCAATAAAAACAAGTGAAATTGTAGATGAAGCTCTGATTCACATGAATATTGTTGGATCATATTTTCTGAGTTGTCTTTAAAATTTTTTCATCTTTCATTTATATTGGTAGGCTATAGAGAATTTCAACATTTTTAATCCTGGAAATTCAAGTCATATTCCCAAGATTGGTTATGTACCTAAACAAGAACACTCTAAATTAGAAACTGGGTTTGTCTGTTTTTGTTGTTGTTGTTTGTTTAGAATTTTACACCAATGGAAAATAGTGCAGTCCATAAAGTAATTCATTTTTCTACATACATGAGGCCAAAGGAATGGGCTTAAGAGCCAGACATCCATTTTACAAAAAGAGAATTATGCCTTACTAATTTTCTCTTGTACGAAATAAAAATAAATCACAAATAATCTTCATATTTACTAATACTGAATTGGACTCCTTGCACAAAGTTGTCTCATAAAACTATTTTCTCATAAAACTATTTTCCCAAACAAACAAACATAAAATTATTGGTCTCAGAAACTGCCAATGAAATTAAATAATTAGTATTGACGAATATAGATTCAGAAAGTCCACTTTATTAAGGTTTTGCTAAACTTTCAAAAGACAATTTAAAAAAATGCTTCTTCAGATTGTTTTTGTCTTTGATTCAGAGATTAAGTCTTTTCCTCAAATCCAAATTACTTTAGCAAATCAACTAAATTTTATCCCATGTGGATTTTGTGAAAGGCACTGTGTATTAAGCGTTCCAAATTGTTTGACTGGAGTATGCCCATAACTTCTAAGTGGCCAGGTGGGAAGGAAATTTGTGCATTTGGAGGAGTTAGTTTAGATGTCTTTCAAGGTAAGGTCTAAACCTCAGGTTCAAAATGGTTTTGCTGGGGTCTAGGGGCATCGCTCAGTGGTAGAGTGTGTGCCTAGCATGAGTGAGGCACAGGGAGAAAACCAAAACACACTGTATTTGCTAAGAAGACACAGGTGTATTTGAATTTAGGTATAGATAGAAGAGAGTGTGATGGATTAGTATGTGACGCAACAGAACTAGCTGCCGCGAAAGAGTACAGAGCATGGTCTCTAGAATTGTTTCTTCACTAAAACATGATCACTTATTTACCCCAAATCAACACATACTAGGAATGAACCTTTCTTTCTTTCTTTTTTTAAAGAGATAGGAGTAGTGTTACAAAGATGTTGGGTGGGTGAATATACAAAACAGTGGGCCTTTAGCCTATTGGATCAGTTGCATTTACCTTATTCATCATGTAGAATAGTGGGAGAAGCTGATTCGTTTCTGAGATCAAACTGAGACAAAAATGTATGCCCGCATCTGACAGTGTGAAAAAGCCATAAAATACGTACTTCTGATAAAACATGAGCATTTGGTAAAGGTTTCATAATTTTAATGATTTCCTGCCCCACCAATTCAGCTTTTCATCACAACAATTTATTTAGGGACCTGAAGGTTAATAATGTAGCTATACCTGGGTACAAGTTTATCCTATTTAAAGAAAGGTACATTAAAAATCTTGAATTTTTAATCCTTTGTAACAGAAATGGAAGTTTAGCAGTCAAACACAGCAAAAGAAAATGAATAACCTATTACATCTTGCATTCCTTTTTGTTACATTGCCAAAAAGTAATCAGTGAACTTTTAGAACTCTGTAACTACAAGACTGCTAATGTGTCAAAATATGAAAATTCAGTTTTTATAGTTTTAAGAAACTTCTGATGGATACCTATCTAGTCACCACAAAAGGCAATATCTTCATAATTCTGCCAAAGATGGAAATTTTCTCAAATGGGAAAGGTAGGTTGTCAAATAGGGTTGACTTCAGGGCTATTACAAAATCTCCATCATCTTAAGTCAATAAGTTAAAAAAAAATGGTAAGCACGTATTTGGTTAACAATAAATAAAAGGAAAAGATGCTAATTAATAGCAAATGGAAAATATTGAATATAGATTCATTTATCCAATCTACCTTAGACCATATGGAAGTTATATTCATTTCTTCTTTAAAAGGTTTATAATAAAATGCACCAATTCATTGGGAATAAGTACAGGAAAAAAAATAGAATTGAACATCTGTGCACAATATATGGAGCTGTTTATAGGAGACTGAATTTGAATAACCAATGGCAAAGTATCGTTCATTACAGGAGATGACTGTTCTATTGCAAGTAAAGGCAGCTTTTTACATTCCCTAAGCATAAAAATAATGGAATGAATTCTGGACACAAAAATGCATACAAATGATCATGCATATGGAAAAAAATGACATATTCTAGGACAGAATTCCTGAGAAAAAACGGACCCTAGATCTGATCCTATCAAGAAATTCTTATAGTCTTTTTATTTTTTTTTCCCCTGGAATTTAGTTCAATAGAAGTTTCTACAAACAAACAAAAATCTCCGAACAAATCGAAGTCACTTGAGAATAACTGCAGTCTGGCGGGAAATGAGCTGTTCAGTCCCAGGTTCATTGAGGCACTTGAATAAACCAGTAACTGCATTAATAAAACATGTTTTTCAAAGGGTAAGATCAACCAGAAATGTGATCTGAAACATCTTTACTAAGAGCGAAACCACAGCCCAGATTCAGGGAAAAACGTGATGCTCAGAGCTACACAAATGCTGAGGTTTCCCACAGACATTTCATTTTTTTCACTGAGCCTGCTTTGACTTTCTGTAGACACCAGTTTTCATCCTATGTTCCTCAGGACCTTGGAAGTCTATGAAGCATCTCTTTACAAGTTTCCTTAAAGACTCATGGGGACATTTTCAGCATGTCTCACTTTGATCATTTTGGGGTATCCAGAGGGTGGTGTTTACAGAGCCTAGATACAATCTCAGAATGTCCCACTTCCTCTCTCATGAAGTGATAAGCTGTGATTCAATTATTTGATATGAGAGTGGCCAGTGACAATGTAGTGGACATTTGAGAGTGAATAATGTCAATGATTTGACTCGGGGATGATAAACGTTATGTGGCTTGGGAAGAGAGCAGGCTGCCTGAAAACCACTGAGGCTCACATGCAAGTTTTCAACCTGTCGTCTCATCAGAAGTCCTTATTGTACTCCAGAGTAGGCAGAAACGTTCTTGTGTAGTGGGTTATTGTTCTTTGAAATCAATGCTTGAGAGTAAATAAGGCACTAGGTTCATATTAGCAAAAGAGAAATCTAAACTAGAATCTCAAATTGTTTGGTTCCCAACACTTGGAAAATAATTCCAAAGATGGAGACAAAAAAGATGAAGGTGAATAGTCACCCTCCTTAGAATTTCCCACATGGACATTCACCAGATAGTCTCAAATTAAGTTTTTGATTTGTGTTTTTTTTTTTCATTTTGAGAAATATTTCCTGGGATGTTTGGGAGTGAGAGAAAAGGAAGTCTATGTCACACAGAAGAAGTCTAAAAGAGAGGAAGGCTACGTCTAGAGGGGTAGATTCAACATCCCAATGAAAGAGAAAGTTCTGAAGAATGGAATGTTCTCTGTGGAGACATGGACTCATATGTGACACTCTGCACAGGGCCCATTTTCCTGTATGCCACAGAAGGTCAGTGTTGTCTCCTGGAGTCAGTGTTCTTGCCTGTGCTGTTGCTGCCCTGACCACGCTGATGAGGTGGGTGGCTGTGTCAAGAAGAACTCTGCTGCTGGTGGCACAGGGCAGAGGATGCTGGGATACAGCTCCCAGCACTGCCATGTTTGATGGGGTTCAGAGGAAATGGCAATGATAGTTATTTTATAAAAGATGACATTCTCTTTTCCTGCCACATGCACACAAAAGACAATGGCAGTGAGGGGCGGGGGCATGACACTAAGCCTACCCTTGTCCAGTGACTGTGGAGAAATACCTCCCGGGAGACCCCTTGGGAACCATAAGGAAGCAACTATATTTTTCCATTTGGATTTCCTTTTCAAACTCAACCAGGTGACTTCTGTTTGTCCAAGGACACACTTGGTAAATTTGTTTCATTCTACCTTTACTCTCTGCTTTCTTTCTTTTTAAAACGATCGCCAAAGCCACCTATATTTGAATGACTGGCAGGATAACTCCCAACTCAAGGATTGGGGATATGGTAAATATTTTTATAGTCTTATAGGTTGGCCATTATTGATGAATAATTCCATTTAGAATACCCCAATCAGTCATAAGAACACGTTACCCTTAAAAACACAGCTCCCGTCTAGTTCTCTTGACCGGTAAAATATCCAGTGAAGCAGTACTTGGAAACATTAAGAAAGGAAAGCAGCCATTCTACATTAAGTGAACCCACTAGAAGAGATCCATTGGTTCCTCCTTCAGTCTTTTGGCATATTTACAACCAAGTCTCTAGAAATGAGAAAGAATAAATGAAATTGCTTGTCCTCGCTCTGAAAACCCACGAATTATATGCTGGTCCTAAAAAACAATCCCTAGCTAACATCTGGTTTTGTGTTGATATTATTTATGCCAAGGTGACCAGAGAAAAATGGTCCCTCAAGATGTTAACAATCCAGATCTCTACCAGGGCTTTTGTGCGGCTGCATTCTTGTCATCCACATTCGTGACTGGAAGCAGTGGATTTCTTTTCCCTTCTGGGTTCTAGGGGAGGACCTGTTACTGATTCTACCAGGATACCACAAAGATTATTTCAAGAAAAAGATTATATGTTATAATGCTTAGCATTTATATATGTTCTTTTGATTTCAAAACAAGTTATAAATATCTCCTACCATGACAACATTCTTGCGAGGTAGGTGAGTATCACTGTCTCTACATTAGCAATAGAAAAACCAGAGGCCAGGGGGTGAAGGACTCTGTTCTGAGTCATGGAGTCAGGAGCCACACTGGGCGCGGGCATCCTGGCTACCCCCTCTGGGCTCTGAAGAGACCATCCCTCTCTCTTGTGTAGCAACAGTCTCCATTAATACATGGTTATATATTGTATAGATATAAAACACCAACACACAATGACATTATAGAACAATAATCCAATATTTCTGTTTCTTAGTAAAATATGTTACGCACAGTATTTAAATTGCATTTCTCTGAAAAGCATTTGGTATATTAAATAGCAGAAGGTATATTAAATAGCTCTATAAACGTTTGCTGGCATACTCTTAACAGCATAATGATTCTAAAGAAATTAAAATCCACTGGCGCAGAGAGACCTTTCCTTTATAATACCATAAACTAAACAAAAATGTTGAAAAACTACTTTGTTCTCAAAATGCAGACTTAATAGCTTACTGAATATTAGCAGGTGGCTATATCTTTTTTTTTTTTTTCTGAGCTTAAGAGAAAGGATACATATTGCTGGCTGTGGTTTTAAAATAAGCAATTCGGTAGGGGAAAAGAATGCAGTTGAAAGGTGAAAATTAAAGACTGCTATTTCCATTTTGTATGCATTTTAAGGGAATCATACATTTTCAAAAGATGTTATCATACTTGGAATTAATATTGAGGTGAATAGAGGAACACTATGTAATAAGAACATTTTGTGAGAAGAGAAAGAAAATGATACTAATTAAACCTACGGTATTAGAAGACAATGAGCAAGCAGACAAAAAAAGGTATTTTTCAGGGCTATTGAAGGCTGGCATGAGATGGAATCTCTTCATGCTCAGGTGACTGGATTGGGCTGGGAGACGGTTTTCAAGAATAAATTCTTGGTTTGATCAGTCTTTTCTCCTAGGTGAAATCTTCACCTTCCTCTCCAGATCAGCAGTGCTCAGAATGGTGTGAAAGCAAAGAGCTCACCTCATGCTAAGAACCGACCAGGTGGGTTGGCAGAAAAAGCTCTAAAACCCAGACAGGAACAGGAAACAGGAATCCAAGTCTTAAAATCCATAGGCAAACATAAAAACTAACTTCTAAGCCAGAAGGACATTCTCTGTCAGAAGTAACAAATACAAAAGTCTTGATTTTAGTATACATGGTGCTAAGATACTGTTAGCTAGAGAGTACACGTCGTTCAGAGAACATTTTTTTTATAAGTGTGCTTTTTTTTTTCCCTAAAAAAAAAAAAAGACATATTAAATTGTCTTTCTCTCCTCGAGTCCTTTATGTATAAATACGAAGTACGGAACTGTTGTTGTTCACTCTGCTATGCGCTCAAGGGCTCCTTCCCGCTGGTATTGTGTGTGGCAGTTTTGTTGGAGGGGTGTGAGAGCTTGAAGAGGCTTGAACAGTTCGGCTGTTTGGTTGGCTGTAAGGTTTTGGCGTAAGGTGAATACCAGTCCCTTTCAAACACATCTTTAAGTTGCTTAATGATGCTTCTGTTGTTCCGCACATCTGCCTGGTTGATAACAAGGCCTGTGCCAGCATTCTGGGTAAAATCATTCCCTACCCAGTCAAAATTTCCTGCAAACCAACAAAGAAATAATGGTGAGGAGTTAGGATCCACTGGGGGAATAGTCCCAATATAATGAAATACAGAGCCAATTCTATTTTAAAAAATTATAACATAAACACCCAGGAATAATGACAGGGAACCTGAATTGTGTTGACAGCTTCAATAAAAAAAATCCAAGAAGCCTTACATATGGCATATTAATATTTGCATATTATCTTGGCATTTCCTTCATCTTCGCTCAAGTTGAAACTCAAAACAAGGAATCTGCTGTTCCTTTTTGTAAATGTTATTTCTTATTGACATTCACAAGACGCACTAAATATGGCAACATTTGAAATATATAGGAATACACTTAAAAATCCTGTGAACAATTACTACCTTCTCAAAGAGACACCCTCTAATCCATATGTACAAGCATAATGCTAAAACACTTTTGCATCAAAGAAAAAGCTGATGCTGGGGAAGTACTGGTTCCTGAGTACACAAATGCTCCTCTATTGGGATGTACATAATTTCCTGTATTGGCCACTTTGGCCCAGGAATTCAGACAGTTGTTTTGAGAACAAGCTCCCATGTATGACCGTGGTGTTAACCAGTGTATTTGTTTTCTAGGGCTGGATTCATAGTGTACCATACACTCAGTGGGTGAAACAACAAATCTCTTTTCTCACATTTCTGGAGACATAATCAATGTGCCAGCAAAATTGGTTCCTTCCATGGGCTGAGGGAAGGACCTGCTCCAGACCTCTCTCCTTGGCTTGTAGCTAGCCCTTTTCTCCTTATATCTCTTCTGATTGTCTTCCCTTTATGTGTTTTGGTTTCCAAATTTCTCCTTTTTATAAGGACAACAGTCAGATTCGATTAGTGCTCACCTGAATGATCTAAATTTTAACTTGATTATCTCTGTAAAGACTTTCTCTCTAACTATGGTGACATTCTGGTATACTGGAGGTTAGCAATTCAGCCATATGAATTTTGAGGGAGCCGGTAAGGCTGGACTCTATCCCAAGAGAGGGTAATAATCTCTATGCCATTTATTTGCAAGGTGGAAGCAGATTAGAGGACTGGACAACTCATAATGCCCAAGTGAGTCTCTTCTTTGGTATCAAATGCAGACAGGTTTCCAGCAGATCAAAGGTTTCTCCTCAAGAGGCACAGCACCATTTTTTTTCCCCTTTACTCTTCTTTGTTCTTCATTCAATGAATACTTATTGAGTGCCCTTAGGTGACATTAGTCTAACAGGTCCCATATTAGGAGCTGCTAATATAAAGGTGAAAATGGCATCCCTGCCTTCAAGGAGTCCAGGAGGGAAACACAATAGTTATAATACAAAGAGTATGTAATACTAGGAGAGAAGAATGCACACAATGCCACCAGCACAGGACAGAAGGAGTTTCTAACTCTGGCTACATGGGTCAAGAAAGGAACATTCTATTGAATAATGAGAGATGCATTGAAATTTACTTAGGACAAGAGAACCAGATCCCAAAGAGAGGATGACATCTTGTGGACAGAGATAACTTGTGGATAGTTAGGGCATTGGAACATTGAGGGGAGAGACTAGGAATGAGGCCAGGAATGAAGGGTGTCTAAGGATGGAGGGACTATCATTTATTGAGTGCCTACTATGAACAAAGCACTGTACTTGATATTTATGTTTATTTCATGATTGGTAAGATTTACACTGACTTTACAAAGGAGGAGAGGGAGGCTCAAAGGAGGGAATAAATTTGCCCAATGTCCCATGACTAAGCAGTGATGCACCCAGGTCTCCAGGTTCCATGAGCTCTCTATGGTATGACAAATAAGAAGTATTCTCTCTAAAAAATATTGAGCCGTGTCAAGACTCACAAAAATTTATTTATAAGTGACCACCATCCCTGGTATGAACTAAGCTCATGGTTTTGTTCTCCTTTTTGGTTAAGAGCTAGTTCCATAAAGGGAAACGGAGACTTTAAATGTCAAGACTGGTCTTCCATTCCCTCAGTAGCAATTCAGGTCTCACTGCAGAAATACTTGCTGAATAAGATGCTGAGCTCATGTGTCCTTGGATAACCTTGGTCCAATCCCTGCAGCCATCTGTGGGAGAGGCTGCTGGCAGAAGGTACTTAGCTGTCTCTTTAAAATTTCATCTTTTGGTCCTTGCACTGCCCTTTGAAGCCCCCAAACATACCAACTCCCTTTTGCACGTGGCACCTCTTGGAATCCTGGAAGGTGGGTCTTTTTTTTTTTTCATTTTACTCCTTAAGTCTAAGGCCTCAAGGCCTAAGAATACAAAGTCATTTAAAAATGCCTTAGGGAAGAATACTGGGACAGCAAAGAATCAATATTTATTAAGGATCTAGATAGATTAGAGAGTCATGTTAGGAGCTATTCGTATATTAGCTCACTTAATGGTCATTCCAAACCAAAGGGTGAATGCTATAATCACCATTTCACAAATAAGGAGATGGAAGATCATGTGACTTTTTACCATCTTCCAGCTTGTATCAGTGCTAGAATTAAAATATGGGTTGTCTGGTTCCAAAATACTTGACTTATCAAAACAGCATTTGAATATTACTACAAATTACTACTGAAGGTGCCCACAACACCTTGCTTTAAGTAAAGCTCACAAGTGAAATGTCCCAATTTAGGTCTCTAAATCCCACTGTTTCTGAATTTGATTCCATCCCTGGATTTCCAAATAGTTGTCCACAAATTTCCTTTTATTTAGTAAACAATTTTGAGTTTGTTTTTTGTCACTTGCTTAAAAGGAAGCTGATTTCATATTATTCGTCCTAAGCTGATAAACATGAGGAAATTCAAATAATCACATTTTTTAATCCCAAGAGGAACAGGAGGGATAAAATAATATGCTTATGTTACAGAAGATGTTCTAATAATCCATTTTAATAAAATGATGCTATAACTATTAAAAATGGTAAAAGAGCATCTTCACACTAGTAAACCTCTACATGGCCAAAGGGGCTGTGTGGTCTGCACCTGCATAACTAAGACATTTCATGTCTTACAGCCCAAGTGTTCTGATTTCTGAAATGTAGAAGATAAAAGTCACCTTATTGATGATGTTGCTAAGAGAATCAAATCATATAAAGTGCTTTTTAAAGTTAAGATATATTTTTTTATTCATCTACTGAATTTGGAAAAAAATGATTAATGTGAACTTCATGTTCCTATATTCTCACAAACATATTTTTCTTTTCTGTTTTGAGACTGCCACTTTGTCTATGCCATGTAATAACCACACGGCTGTTTTGGATTTATGTGCCTACCCTGTACAGATAATTTCAACTCTACCTGTGATGTTTCCAGTGAAGGGACCACGTAGGGCTCATGCACAGCACAGAAAATTAGAATAAACTTGATATGTTAGGAAATAATTCCATCAACAAATGGGTTTATGCATCTGGGACTTTATTACCTTAATACTAATAGCTAATATTAATTGGATCTTATATTTGTGCCAGGTACTTTGTATATACTGTCTCAGTAGAAACTGCCATTAACCCCATTTTACAGATAAGAAAAACTGGGATTTAGAGAGTTCAAGGAAATTATCCAAAATTAGACATTTAGAAAATGGCAGGAATGGGATTGTGACTCAGATAGTATAAGTTCTGGCACTGAACAATTACAGTGCTTGCCTCCCCATGACCCACGGTCGACTGGCTTGTGGTGCTGTGGTGCTTGTTTTGGTGCCAGCCACGGTCTTTGTGAGCCATTTGCCTTCTTGTCTATAAAATGAGGCCAGTGGACCAGAGAATTTCTGCAAAGCAAGATGTAAAGACATCTTCCATGATATCCTAGTACAAGAATCAGGTCTCAGAGGAGACATTTGGGGTGAGGAGCTCTTCTCCCTACCCTCCTATTTCCTGACCACCAGGGCCTACTAGTCATCAGCCATGGCTCCAAGGTGCTGATCTTTCACCATGGACCACCACTGAGGTCCAGTTGAACCAGCACTTCCTGGGGAATCTCTGAGGAGCTTCCCAGCCCTGACACCTACCAATATAAGCTGCTCCATCTGTCACCATGTACTTGTTACGATTTAATTTAGGAAAGGTGTGATTCTTTTGTTCTTTTGTTGCACAAGCATTCTCTCTTTCCAGATCAAAAAATTTCTGTAAGGAGAAAAAAAAATCAGGTGAATAGAGACTGTTTTTGGTCTGTTCAAACAGGCAAAGGAGCGAATTATCCAAATGTCAACAATAGACCTCATATTGGGTTATTAAAACCATACACTCGTTATTTTGTATAGAGGAAGCTATTTTTATTCTTGAATTTATATAGGCAACAAGAGAGAAAATTAGCATGCTCCACTTGGTCTATAATTAACACTTTTAAGCTACAAAATTCATTCTTTCAACAGGGTGAGGGCCAGAAGGTTGTTTAATTCTCTTTGTCTTATTCACCAGGGTGCACTGGCATTTGAAGCATGCCTCAGGGACCTTTCTGTCAAGCATGCCAAAGAACTGAATGAGTATTCTTACACTTTGCATGCATTATGTCAAGGACTAGCTGATTAGCCTGGGGATTCACAAAGGTCACAAGAGAGTTTTCCACAGGAACAAATACTTTCCATCTACACACCTAAGTCTACAAGCTCATTCAGTGGGTGATTCAAGCCATGCAAACCATAATTGCAAACAATGAGTCTTGACTTTCAACTTCACCATGACCCCAAAAGCAGGTTTGCACTTCAACCAAGGCCAAAGATGGAGGAACAAGGAGAATGTGGGCTCAGAGCAGGAAAGATCAAAGTAGGCACTCCTGGGTCTGTTGAATTTGCCACGTGTTGGATAAAGTGGTTTGTTTCTTTTTCTTTCTTTTTTTATTGGTTGCTCAAAACATTACAATAATCTTGACATATCATCTTTCATACATTTGATTCAAGTGGGTTATGAATTCTTATTTTTACCATGTGTACAGATTGCAGGATCACATTGGTTATACATCCACGTTTATACATACTTCCATACTAGTGACTGTTGTATTCTGCTGAATTTGTTCTTTTTAGATATACGAGTGTGGATAAAGTTTTGACTGTGATTGAGCTCCTGGGACTCTGGTGGTTGAGCTCACACCCATCAACAGTGAAAGTCTGTACATTAGAAAACAAACATTTTCATAATGGCAAGGAATTCTTTGTGTGTGTGTGTGTGTGTGTGTGTGTGTGTGTGTTGCTGGTGATTGAACCCAGGGCTTCGTGCATGCTAGGCAAGTGCTCTGCCACTTAGCTACGTCCCCAGCCTCACCATGGATTTTTTTTCTAGGATGTCTTGCAGGTGTGAGATCATGTGTATTGGAAGGAAAGAAGAAAAAGAGAGAAAAATGACATGATACTTAAAAAAGAAGACATAGTATAGTTTCAAAACAGTAAGTGTTTAAATTTGGCTTGGGGAAATAATGAGAGTTGGTTTTCCTTGCCTATGCCTCAGACTGGGAAAGAGGTGACCTCGGTGATCATTAAGGTCCCTTCCAGCCTGTTTTTTTTTTTTTTTTCAAAACCCTTGAGATCCATGGTGCACACACCAAAATTTACCATCCAAATAATGCCTATTTCACAACACAGAGGAACATTCTCCCAGGGCACGGAGAATGCCCTAGTTCACCTTATTTCCCTAGTTCCTGTCTTCCACAAAATTTGCTGGTTTGTGGAGTCATCAAACTGACTTAATAACTTGAGAATGCTCCCAGGTCACAGTTATATACTCACAAAGTCATGTTAGTATTGTGGGTAACAACCAGCAGTCAGCTCGCCTAAACATTCTATCAATATGTCCACGCATAGACTGTTTCCTTCTGAGAAAGATACTATTGTAGAATCAAGAATTGATTGAATTCAAATCAATCAACTTGAAAAGGAGTAAAATACATATCCTAAGTTAAGTAAAGGATGGAGTCACAGCTTGAGGCTTTAGCAAGAACCCATTTTCTCTAGAAAGTTGATGATGGCCCAGAAGAGGAGAGACAGATTTATCTGAGAGACTAACATGACAGCAGAAATCAGTCAGAAATTCACTGACATTATTAGATACCATCATATGTTGTAAGAGACAGCAAAGTCATTTCAAAACTGATTAGTTAATTCATTAAAAAATAAATACTCAGCTAACTGGAACAATCTTGTGAGTTGCTGTCTCTTTTTGTGATCTCCTTGTGGGTACAAACCCACATCAGGGGTGTGAGGTGCCCATTCCTCCAAGGACAGAGTTTCCTGTCCAGTTCCCAAGCCCTGTGTCTTAGCAAAGCTCCAAGGCTCCTGCAGATATGCCGCATGCAAGAGTCCAATGCCTACTTTTCCTTGGAAGAGCTCATCAGCCATCTGTGTTCTAGATATTGGGGCCTTAAGCTTCCTTCTCACCTTGGCTTGTCTTGAGCTTAGAAATACATGACCTCTATTTAATAAAATGGCCAACGGTGAGCTTTTAATGTTTGGCCTATTCAAGAAATATGACCATCTGTGTTCAGAAAGATAAAATTGATGAAGTACTGTAGAGGTTATGATGATGGAGGCGTTCTACTTTCCTTGGAATTTCTTGCAAGTCTTCACTGAGAGCACTCAACATTTCACACCCCTGGGAGATTTCAACTGCAGGGGCCTTAGCAGGTGTTAGATATGGGGTCAGGAAGTAGCTGGCAGGTGAGACCTCTGACATGGGCACAGGGAAGTTGCAGAACATGAAAGCAAATATACCACAGAGTGTGCCCAAGGCCAAGATGCCCTCCTTTCTGCTCCTGGTAGACCTTTTTAGTGTGGCAGTAGTGCTCTTCTACCGCGAATGATTCCCTGGGCATCGGAGTCCACAGAAAGTGGCTAACCACACCTTGGATTTGGGCATTGCTCTAGACTCGGCTCCCTCTCTCTCACTATCTTAGAGAAATTTTCTTATCCCTCTGCCTTTGCTAGCTCTTTTCTTTGACTTTATTCATTCATACTTTCACTCATTCGACACATATTGGAATACTGTGCCAGGCATCATGCTGGGCACTGGGCACCTGTTCCTAGTTTTGCTTGATTACCCCTGGGACCTTTATGTCACTTCAATTACCTGGAAGATGCTGTTCCTGGGCTGAAATAATCCTAAGCATCCCCTTGTCTGTGGAAAGGTTTTAAACTCTATCCTCTAGTGTCTCTGCCAGGTTTCTGGGGACTATATAGCAACTTCTCAGATCTGTGATATTTGATTCCAAACTACACTGGTGCTCTGATCCAGTTCCTGGTTATTTCATTTATTTGCAAATCTGACCTGGGAAACTTCCATGGGGGTAACCACAGACTTGTTTCAATTTGCAATACTTACTCTGATTTGTGAACCCAGAGACATAGGTATGGCTGCCTCAGTTTACAAAAACTAGTTGAACAGAGATTTGTGCAGTGATTTGGATGAAACTTTGCATTTCTCCCTCACAGAGGGATGAGGGTTCTCCATGTGGGAAAAGTGTAATAGATAGTGGGTACCCAGAACTTCAGACCATGGTGATTCACAGATATATTCTGTTCCCTTGGGAACAAAGCTATCCTTCTGAACACACTCATAAGCCTCCCTTGTCCCCACGTGTGTGGTGTCTGGGCAGTGGAATGCAGGCCACCTCTAGACCTGACCCGTAAAGTCTTCTTCATGGTCTTCCAGCCTCTCACTTCTCTTGATTGAGGTAGTGAGGGTCAGAAGCTACATGTCAAAGTGATATTGCAAAGCCCTTGTCACCCTAAATTCCTCTATACCAAGAGGAACACAGTCCAACTACCTAGAAGAGGGCCTGCTACAGAGCTTGGGCTCAGCACACATGGATTGAATGATTACACAGAAGGCTGGACAAAGCTGAGACCCAAAGGGTTAGTGGCCATTTGTCAGGTGAAGCATGGAGAAGAGTGTTATGGGCAGAGGGCACAGTATGCACAAAGGTCCTGTGTGGAGGATGGAGAAAGTCAAAGATGAGCTGGAGAGTTAGCACATTTACAGTATCACCAATTTCCAAACTTGCTTCCTTCAAGGTTTTCAGAATGGAATAGCATGTGGTTTAGGTGACCAGGAAACAAGTGTGGAAGCCCAGGCTGGGGAAACACTGGGACTTGGGGGGTGGGGTCTTTGTTAGAGCATGTTCCAATGCTCTAGTGGTCACAGTTGTGCAGGTAATCACAGTAGGTGAATGAAGCAGTTCAAACAAAATGGAGAGATTGCAACAAAAGTATGTTTGAAGAAGGCTAGACAAGAGGAAATTTGGGTCCACTGTCCGTATTTTGTGTGTGATTGTTTTGAAAAATAATTTCCTACCCTCTGAAGTAAGTCTTTACTCTCCTGTTCTTACTGGAAGCCTATGTGCATGTGTATGCTCACAGCTTTCACAGACATGCAAAGGGAATACAATCTATTTAATAGCACAGTCAATATAATACTTACAACTTTCAAACTGCAGTTGGCTATTTCTGTGCAAATAGCTTTAAGAGATGAAATAAAGTTAAATGTGAGGGGATCAGTTTCCTTCCAGAAGCTTATAAGAAGTCGAACTTTAACACTTCGTAAAACTAATGCTTCTCTTATTTTTCCATCCAGGTCTGGCCAGTAAGTCCTGTATAAGTAATATGCATATAGATAAAAATAAAGAAAATAAATTAGGTTGGGGAAGAAAATTGACTGTACTATATAGAAAACACTTCAATTACTCTCTGATCATTATTCTGTAGTAAACAAAAAGCCCATGGGCTGGGGATGTGGCTCAAGCGGTAGCGCGCTCGCCTGGCATGCGTGCGGCCCGGGTTTGATCCTCAGCACCACATACAAACAAAGATGATGTGTCCACCGAAAACTAAAAAATAAATATTAAAATTCTCTCTCTCTTAAACAAACAAACAAACAAAAAAGCCTTGTAAGATAGGTTGAAAAAAAAATGCAAGTCTTTTGGGTTAGGCACAAAGAAATGAAGCTTGACTGGGACCAGCTCCTGCCTAAAAGAAGATCTCCCACCACCAGCACCTGGACTGCATGGGCCTAGGGTGCAGACAGAATGACCACCACTGCACACTTCCATCATCATACCCACCACACATATGTGCACTAAGAATCAGTTTTTCAACACAATTTCAGTTAAGAGGCTTTAGCAGCTCCCCTGTCCCCAGATGCCCCTCTGACCTCTCTTCTTGGGTAACTGTCTCCATATGAATTTCTGCTCCGATTATCTGAGCTTTTTTCACACTCTTCTTTCCAGGGTGTCCTTGGCATCACCTCTCCTGGCCAAGCCTCCCAGGACTCCTCTACCTCCCACCTCTGGGTTGTACATTTGGATTCTTCCATCAGACAATCAGTTTCTTTACAGCCTCAACCTCTTCCTTGAATCCTTAGCCCTCTGCCTTTAGGGTTAAGGATGCCCTGATTCTTCTCAAAGGCCACAACTTCTCTTAAAGACCTGCCATGTAGTCCCCCCCACCACACCTAGCCACTTGGTTTCAACTGTGAGGACAGCTTCCTGCTCTACCTCCCCCATTCCTGCCAATGTCACTTCCAGAATTGTCACTTAATTCTCCCGTGAAAACCAAACAACTTCCCTATCTTAAGGACCATGACTTGCATACTTTATCTCCTCTGCATTTCTAGGGCTTTGTTTACTCATTCAAATCTTGTCCTAATTCTGGGCCAATCCACTGTTTGGGCTCATGATAAATTATTCAGAACCTTAGCTTGTTTATGTCATGATCACTGCTTCTTCACACATCTTCTCTTTGTATCCGATGCCAGCCTCCTGCCCTTCAAGTCCCCTGCTCTTTCAATTGCATAAAACCTGCTCTTTGACCTTGTGTGGGCTGCAGCCCTAGGATCCCTTCAATGACTCCTGTCCTTCAGCTCTTCCCTGTGTCTCTTGCCTGCCCAGTTCTCATGCCAGGTCTGATAATCTGCATAGCACTTGCCCTTCCAATTTTCTCTCACTTATGACAAAAACCTAAATCATGGGTAAGTGCTGTAATTTTCTTTTTGTCTATTTCTATACCCACAAAACTGAGTCCTACTGGGAAAAATCACCTCAGTCTTGTGCTTCAAGTTGGTTTCTCTGCCTCCAGTTTTATCCCTGTCAAGTACCTCCACCATGACCTCCAAAATGACCCATCTAAAAGCACTTCTGGTCATGTTTTTCCTTGGATTAAAACACAGAAGATGCTCTCCAAACTCACAATACTTACCAATAGATGGGGCCCCCTAGTTCCTGGTCCCTGCCTCCTCATCAGTTTGATTTCTCACCACCTTGCCTTGGGCTCTGTGATCTAGCACTGAATTTTCTAGGCTTCTTTCCTCCATCTGAAACTTGGCTCAAGGTGTCCCTTTCATTTGGAAAATTCCATTTCTTATACTTTTCACAAATGTTCATGAATAATTTGAAATGCAACTCAGATAGCAGGTCCTCCTGTAAGCTTCCTTTAACTCAGGAACTGTACCATAGATATTCTTTCATGGAGTGGCTCTAATATTTTTTACACACACCTATTGCTCCATCTGTACCACTGCATTCTAATAAGATAATCTATGTCTATCTGCCCCTATCAGATGGAACTTCTGTGACCATATGCTGTTCATGCTTTAACCATAAGTACACAGAGCTATATAAATATTTGTTAAAAAACAGATATTAATAAATGAAAGATATTAATACAATAGTTCCTTCTTATCCATTTCGAGACCCTAGTCGATGCCTGAAACCACAGGTTGTACTGAACCTTATATATACTGTGTTTTTTTCCCCTCTACATATAAATCCTGCGTAAAATATATAAATTAAGTAAAATAAAATATTAACAATATTAATTAACAAAAGAACAATGATAGCAAGATACTATAATACAAGGTATTTAAAATTTCTGAATTGCTTATTTCTGGAAATTTCCCTTTCATATTTTCAACCTACAGGTAACTGAAGCTATAGAAAGTGAAACTGTGGGAAGAGAAGACTATTGAACTCAAAGACTAATCAGGCTACATTTTTATTAGTCTTTCACACATTGACCAGTTTCCTTCTGAAAGATGCATTCCAAGTAACTGAAGAAATAAATCATGAACAACCCCAAACTGAGACCTAAATAATTACGTGAATTGACTGAAGGAAGACAGCTTGATTGCTATAGCAGGACGAGGTGGAGCTGGGCTTCTGATTTTTTTTTTTTTAAATTTTATATGTTGTTTTAAGTTGTAGATGGACACAGTACTTTGATTTTGTTTATTTATTTATTTTTATGTGGTGCTAAGGATTGAACCCAGTGCCTCACAACTGAGGGGCAAGTGCTCTACTGCTGAGCCACAACCCCAGCTCCAGGGCTTCTGATTTTTTTAACTACAGTATTTTCTTAGTCATACATCATTGTTCCATTCACTTCCTACTACCTTGAAAATTAGAAATTCTAAAACTAACACTAAACTATGGTGTATGGTTTTTTTTCACAGGCTGTCAATCATTTCTAATTTGGGAGTGTATGAACTTTTTTCTTTTTCATTTGGATATTGGCAGTGTGTAGACTAAAAAAATCTTTAAGATATTAATTAATTTCATAAACACAATAAAATCTGATAGTATTTACTAGTTCAGTGAAGTTTAATTGACTCCTGAAAAACTTTTCCAGTACTATATAAACATGAGTAACCAATCTGACCTTTTAAAAAATATCATTCATTTGATTGAGAAGACTTTCATTATAACCTGGATATATGAACTACTTATTTTCTTCAATGACCTTTTGTTTAGAAAGTTAAAAACACCTTTTGTTTTGAAATTTTAAAAATATAATAAAAGAAGTATTCTCTGAATAACATCTGAAATGACAGATTAATAACCAAAATGCAAAATTTCAGGTAGGCTTCAGTTCTTTAACATTCTTTTAATTTCTTTTCCTTTAAGTACTTCATAATTCTTTTTCCCATGACCATGAAGGATTCCAGTTTTGTTTATGGGTCTTCATGGAACAAAGGTTTTGTCAATCTGATCATGCATCTTCCTATCCTAAAACAGAAATCCATGAATTTGCCTTATTCTCCTTTTTCATAACAGGAAAATTATGCAAAACCTATTCGTTTCAATATCCTTCCAAAATGAAACTGACATCCAGAACTGAACTAAAATCAAATAAACAACAGAAAGAAAATTTTTTATGAAAAGGAGGGATAAAAAATATGTGAAAGCGCATGTGTGCAAGGGGGAATCCATGAATGTTCAAAGGACGCACAATATTTTAAAGTAAAAGTGTCTTAATCATGTGCGTCTTGCAGATTAAAATGCTTCTTCACTGACTGTCATCAGGAGTGATCATTTTCTGGAAGACTGCAATTCTGTGGTAATTTGCATAAAGAAGTTACATATTATGCATATGTGGGGTTGGCAATATGAAAAATATTCAAGCAATATAGGGCATACTTAATCATTTAACCTCAGTAAATGGTTATTTTGAAATTATAATTTTCCAAATTAAAAATGTCTTTGGTTTCACTCCCAAAAAGTGCATTTTGAAAAGATTTCCTGGGTTAAACTAATTATTCAGAACACTGACAAGCACCTGAATCTGTACATTTACAGTGAGAAAGCAAAAATGGGAGAATGGGAGTACCTGGGCATGGCCATGCATATATACATGCAAAGGTTTTTGTAAAGAAAAAAAATAATTTCTGTCCCTGAATTTATTTCAAGTATTTGCATGCTGAAAGAATGATGAATTAATTTTTAAAATACTACATTTTAAAGATGTTCTGTTTCTTTCCCAGAGAGATGCATTGACTAGGAACATATATATTTTTAATTTCCTTCTCCTTTACATTGAGAAGATACATGAACATTGAGCATTTAATGAAGATTGCTCTGAATATAAGAAAGAAATATCTCCTTTAAGGAAAATCTGGCAAGACTACTCAGTTATATTCAGCACATCCTTTGGTACATCCTCATGAATAATGTTAAAATATATTTTTCCAAATAATAGTCTATTTTTTAAATTTGTTTTCGCAGTGCTGGGTATCAAATAAAATGTCTCATGCATGTTAGGTAAATGCTCTACCACTGAGCTGAACTCCTAGTCTTTGTTTTATTTTATTTCATTTTATTACTTTGTATTTTAATTTTCAAAGTGAGAACTACCTAACTTTCTGAAATTGCTTTCATGCCAATAATGTGAACTACTGAGCTATTTATGCATGGCCAGAACCTAGTACCCCTCCCCATTTTTTTTTTTTTTTTAGTACTGAGAATTGAACCCAGAGGTGCTTAGCCATTGTGCCTCATCACCAGCCCTTTTTATTTTATTTTTGAGAAAGGGTCTCGCTAAGTTGCTTGGGCCTCTTTATGTTACTGACCTTGAACTTGAAATCCCCTTGTCTCAGTCTCCCAAGTAACTGGGATTAGAGGCATGCTTTACAGTGCTCAGTTAAGACCCTGATCTCTAATATTTGGGGAGGAGATGTATCTGTGGGTGAACTGCAAATGCACACCAGGCATATCTGAACAGTGTGCTCTTCCTAATGCAATGTGATAGTGTTTCCATGTGCAGGCTGGTTTATCCTGTGATCCTTCATTTAATGGCTGGCTCCGAAAAACTGGGTTATAACTAGAAGGTGGATACTCACTGACCTTTTGGTGCTTGTGCTGGAGATAGGCAGGTAGTCCATGACAGCAATGTACACGTACTGTTTGGCGTCATCTATCACGCTGTAGATGGCATCTATGTCAAAACTTCTGTTTTTAGGGCAAAAAAGTTTGGGAGAATTCTGTGAAGACAAAACCCCCAAATTTCAGAGCATTAATGGTTGGCATCTGAGGATTTCTTTATTTGCTTTAATGGGTAGCTTCAAACTAAAATTTTGCAAACCTACTTTCTGCTGCTTCTTCTGCTACTGCTTTTTCTCCCCACCCCACCAACCCCCGATTTTTCCTTTTTGGTACTAGGGATTTATACCTGGGGTGCTCTATCACTGAGCTGCATTCCCAGACCTTTTTATCTTCTTCTTCTTATTATTATTTTTGAAACAGGGTCTCAAAATAAAGTTGTTCAGTGTCTGTCTAAATTGCCAAGGCTGGCCTTGAACTTGCAATCCTGCTAACTCAGTCTCCCTAGTCACTGGGATTACAGGTATGCACAACGACGCCTGGCTATTTTCTGCTTCTTGATCAGATTAGACAAAAATATTCTCAGCCTTTGAAAGTTGAGACACAGAAAGATAAAGGAGAGATGGGATGGGTCTCCTGCCTGTCCTTTATGTCTAATTTAGTAGAGAATTTTCACTTTTAAATACAGACATCTACACGTTTTGGAGGTGCACTCCAGCTTCAATCTTATGTGATTCTGGAATACCTCTCCATCAGATAAGTTGTTAATTTCCTCAAGTGTTACCATATAAACTTACATATACATATAACAAGCAATTTATTCCAGAAGTCATTTCATTTGAAAGTGTATAAATAGGCATGAAAATATTCAAGACACAAAAATCTAAAGATCTTGGTGTTTATTTATTTATTTTCGCCTGAATCTTTCATTGAATCAGGAAGAGGCAGGGATGTTGATTGTCGAGAAGGGACCATCAATAATCCTACAGGAAAAATCTGAGTGAGTGATTAAGATGCCCAAATCCATCAGGAGAGTCAGAGAGAAAGGATATTCTGTCAGACTTCAGCAAAATGAAAAAAGAGGGAAATTATGCTTCAGGTATTTTTCTCACGTTGCCTGAAGTTTCCATCTATAAAAATATAATGTTGCTATGGCAAGGGTGGGGGAAATGTAGTTTTTTCCCCCATTATTTTTCCAATGGTGGGGATTGAAAATAGTGTTCCTTTTAGTTCTTCTTTTTGACAAGCCTCGGTGCACAAATATTGCAAGGAGTGGTTAGTACCAAAAGGCTGAAGAAATGTTTCTGAAACTGCCTGGAATAAATAGCGGTGTTGGGCAGTCAGAGTCCCAGGTCACTTCTGGTACAGTTCTTTACACTGCATTGGTCAGAATTCCCGTCCCAGCTCACGGGTTCATGAAATGAAGTGTCTGGAATGGATGCCCACTTGAGATGAAGTAAGGGGGTAAGAAACGAGCAGGTTGAAGGTCACCTCCTAACCCCAGGCATCCCTATTCAGAAAGTCCTCTTGGCAGGTGATAGTCAGGATGTGCTTTCGATTATTAAAATTATTTTTTCTTTTGGAATGAGGCTGAGCTTCCAAATTTTAACAACAACAAAGACACAAACAACCAAAACATAACAATGCTAGTCCTACAGAGATATATAGAGAGTCCATCTGTTACCCAGACAGACAGATGGGTACTGCTTCTGCAGTGTTTCTGGTGTTGGTCAGTCCCTCCCTCTTCTTCCTGATGGTCATTTCCTTCATTCAGGTACTCATACTGTTTGCAGGGGGTTTGTGATACCTCCTAGTGTATTGCCTTGCCTCCATGATGTTTAACAAACACATGTCACTCTCTGGATAAACTGACTTCTGGTCTTGGGGAATCCAGTCTAAGCTCATAGGGAGGGATGTGTCCATAGCTGTTGCTCTGTCTCCCTTATTTGCTGGCTACTGTGTAGTCTGTGTCCCCCAAACTGAATTAATCATCAGCTCATGCCTGTGTCCTCATCTTATCTGCCTCTGGGCATTTGCTCAGCTGGTCCCTCCAGCTGACATCCTTCCTTACTTTTGGCTACCCAAGTCCTATTGGCTCAGTTCAAATTCAGCTCAAATATTACCTCCACTGAAATTTTCTTTTAGATCCTCAACCAGTGGTTGTTTCTCCCATCTCTATGTTCCCATCCTATATATTTCTTTTTCTTTTTTTACCATCTTGGCCATTTCTAACGTCAAGGGCACCCTGTGCATTCACGTTGCTATTGCAACCATCACCACCAGCCACCTCTGGAATTTACTTCTTATTTATCCTATTCAAATTTATATTATAATTACTTGCACTTGCCTCCCCTCCTCAGCTGGACTGTTTCTAGACTGATTTCAAGGATTGTCTTTTATTCATTCTCCTCTATATATCCTCTAAAATTAAATATGCATATTATTTAATTTTCTCAGCCCTTTGGGTTTGCTTTAAACATGCTTCAGGTTGTTATGAAGAAGCTGAGGATCTCATCTCTGGATAGGCTCCTGGGCTAACTCTGAAATGTGTCCAAGCACCCTCTCTTTTTCAGTTAAGAACTTCCTGAATTGTATCACATGATCCCAAACTGGATTTTGTTTTCGGAGAGAAACAAATTTAGGCAGAGTTGTTGGTGGTCTCTCTACGTTTGCTGTCATCTTACAAGTTTGGATATAGTGTCATTAATCTATATAGAAAAGAGTAAAAGCTTTGGTGATACAGGCCAGACCCAGATTCCAGCACTTATGCGCTAGGCCTGTCTCTTACACCTTGAATTTATGTTTTTTAGTGGAGTTAATAACAATAACACAACTTTCTCACTGGTTCACCTGCTGTACCCCTCTTCTATGCTTGTTTTCATTCAATCATCAGATCTTCTTAACTGCCTGCTGTGTTCCAGGCTCTGGTCTGGGCACATGACCTATAACTGTGATAAAGGTATGATCCTGCTTTGTGGAGCTTCACTCTGGCACAGGTTGCTTGGCACTGCATTCATTTGTCTTTGTGTTCGTACACTAACTCGTGAGCTGCTTAATGCTCTATCTCTTGCACCTTTTCCCATACACTTATTACATGCTCAGTAAATATCTGTGGAATAAGTGTGCAAGTATTTCATAAATTAATAAATGTTGGAGGTCTGTCCAACCCCAACCTCCACTTCTAGTTAGAGTTTCTTTATTCTAGGTATTTCCAAACACATTTAAACATATCTTCATTAGCATTTACCTGCCTCAATGTTGCCCATGCTCCCACTGCTTAACACAATGTCCAGAACTTGGAAAGTGCTCTATGTGTTCATGAAGGAGAGTAATGATTATTCACATCAGTCCCCTTGCACCTGGGGGCTGGTGGTACTTCCCTGTGTGTTCTAGGCATGTTCTAGGGTCCTCTACATTTATAGACAGTGCCTGGACATACTACTGTCTTTAAAGTGTTTGCTCAGGGTATAAATGAAAATAAATAAAACATAAAAGAAGATCTACTGCTCTGGTATAGGAAATTAACGTTCCAACTGTAACTAGAGAGAAGGCTGTTAAGTTTCCCTCTTAGCACTCCTGAATGAATTTTCTGAGTCTGACTTGGGATCTCCCTTTATTCCATGGTAAAGTAGAAGAGGGAAAATATAAATCCTATTCTAATTTCAGTTCTGTGATAATCTCTTACCAATCAAGAATTAGTGATATATTTTGTTTTTAGGTTAATTAAGGTTTCTGTCACAGATCTATAGTGCCTTACATAATATGCATGTAATTTATTTTGTATAGTCACTCAATACTTGCCTTTTAAAGAATTTAGCAGATTTTTTTATTATTTAATCATAATATCCTGGTTTTTAAGTCTATACTCTATTTGTAGAATAGTTCCATTAAAATGTAATTAAACATAAAAAGACAACCCACAGCATGAGAGAAAATATTTGTAAATCATGTATGTGATAAGGGCCTTGTATCCAGAATGTAGAAAGAACCCTTGCAACTCTATTAAAAACAAACAAACAAACAAACAAACAAAACCCCCTTACTTTGAAAAAAGAAAGTATTTGATAAGCATTCCTCTAAACAAGATATTTTACAAATAGCTGCCCCCCAAAAGATGCAAATCAATACCACAATGAGATTCAATTTCACACCCATTAAGAGGGCTAAAATAAGACATAAAAGTAATAAGGATATGGAGAAATTGAAATATTCATATATTGCTGGTGTGATTTTACAATGGTATAACCAGCTTGGAAAACTGTTTGGCAGTTTCTCAAAATGTTCAACATAAGTATCATAGTACACAGAAATTCCCTTCCTAAATATAAACCCCAAAGAATTGAAAATGGGTATTCAAATAAAAACTTGTACATGAAGGTTCATAGTGGCACTCTTCACCATAGTCAGAAGACAGAAACACCCAAATGTCCATCAACTGATAGATGCATGGACACAATGTGGAATGTCCATACAATGGACTATTATTTGAGCATAAAAAGAAATGAAAGAAGTAATGATCTACACCACAACATGGATGAACCTTGATAACATTATATTGGCTGAAAGAAACCAGTCACAAAAGACTGCATATTGTATCACTCCATTAAGAAGAAATGTTCAGTAAAAACAAGATCATAAAAAATAAAGTAGATTAGTGGTTGCCAGTGGTTGGGGGAAGAGAAAAATGGAGAGTGGCTGCTAATGATTATGAGGCTTTTCTTTGTGGTGAAGAAAATGTTCTGAAGTTATAATGGTGGAGATGATTGCAGAACTTTGTGACTATACTAAAACCCATTGAATTGTATACTTTAAAAGGGTGGATTTTGTGATGAATGAATTATATCTCAATAAATCTGTTAAAATATAATTAATAATACACACGAGAAGTTCTAAAGAAGAATATGGTGTTTTTTTGACAGCGGCACTGAGTTTTATTCAACTTCTGTCCTCTCACTAAATATATCTTAGTTTACATGACTGATGAGTGAATGAACTGAACAATAAACAACAAGAAATACCACTTATCTAGCAGCTAGATCAATAAAAGTACATCTTGAACTAACTAGTCTTTGTCCTGGAAAGCAAGTGCATAATTTTAAGGACTCTAAAAATATAACTAAAACACAAAATCTCAGCCAGCCATTATTCCTATCTTGGAATT